TAAAATGGTCGTTCGACCCCAAATGGGGTCGCGACCCATAGGTTGAGAACTGCTGGTTTAAACAGAACAAGAAACAGTAAGGAGAAAAGGAAAAAGTGAGGAAAAAAGGAGCCATGACTATGTATGTAAATTGCACTCCAGAAAGTAACCTGATGGGATCCATAATATTTAACTTTATAAGTTTTCAAAACCAAATTAATTTTTTAGCAACTGACACAGTTACCTAAATTCTGTGCCCAAATGTGTAATTCATTTGAATTTGGAAATTTCTATGATAGCAGATTGCCTATTCTATTCTTCAGGATAGGAGTAGTTTCAGATCTTCACTTCTTTCTATATCATCTTATATTCATAGACTGCAATGTATTGTGGTCCCTGATAATAGTTTCAATTTTTGCAAAAAGTAGGCGAGCCAAGAAAAAAAAAATAAGGCGTATCTATTAAAAACAATCTCCATTACATATTATATTAAGGGCATAATAACCAAAGGTCAAGTTGGCTTGAAACTCAACATTAAGAAAACCAAAATCATGGCATCCGGCCCTCTTAATTCCTGGCAAATAGATGGGGAAGAAATGGAGGTAGTGACAGATTTTGTTTTTCTGGGCTCCAAGATCACCTCAGATGGGGACTGCAGCCAAGAAATTAAAAGACGCTTGCTCCTGGGGAGGAAAGCTATGGCAAATCTAGACAGCATACTAAAAAGCAGAGACATCACCCTGCCAACAAAAATGCGTATACTCCAGGCCATGGTTTTTCCAGTTGCAATGTATGGCTGTGAAAGTTGGACCATAAGAAAGGCTGAGCGCCAAAGAATTGAGGCCTTTGAACTATGGTGCTGGAGGAGACTCCTGCGAGTCCCCTGGGCTGCAAGGCGATCAAACCGGTTAGTCCTAAAAGAGATCAACCCCGACTGCTCTTTAGAAGGCCAGATCCTGAAGTTGAAACTCAAATACTTTGGCCACCTAATGAGAAGGAAGGACTCACTGGAGAAGGGCCTAATGCTGGGAAAGATTGAGGGCAATAGAAGAAGGGGACGACAGAGAATGAGATGGCTGGATGGAGTCACTGAAGCAGTAGGTGTGAACTTAAATGGACTCCAGAAGATGGTAGAGGACAGGAAGACCTGGAGGAACATTGTCCATGGGGTCGCGATGGGTCGGACACGACTTTGCAATTAACAACAACAATAAACCAAACGTCAGCATAGAATTTCATACAACTTACTTCGTACATATTATTAGAAACCTGCCTAGAAAAAAAAACACATTCCTTTGCTCAATCAAGAATTAGTTTTAGATTGTTTTCAATCTTCAGTAATTCTTTCACAAAATATAAAGATGGGGAATTCTATATATAAGACCTTGTTCATTATATGAAAGAACAAACGCAAAGCAGCATAAATAGTACAAATGAAAAAGATATCTGAATAAAATAAAGAGTTCTCAGATTTGTAGTTCAGATTCCCAATTTAAAAAATTAAAATAAAAAAATTAAAAGTTTCAGATGAGGATTTTTCTATTTTTTTGGCTTTTATGAAAGAATCTTGTCAGTTTCTTTTGAATCACAACTCAATGTTCAAAATATTAAAAAGCTGATGAAGACCCTAAATTTGTCAATTCAGCTGCCTAATCTAGAAGAATATCAGAATGATGGATACTCTTATCTCAGGGGTGTCAAACTGCCGGCCCACAGGCCGGATACATCACACTAAAACCACGCCCACCCCCATTGCCAGCAATGGGAAAAAAGTCACGATATATCGTGACACGTCACGTGATGTTGCGGGTTTGATACCCATGCCCTATCTCAGGCTGTAAAATGGATAAATCTTAAAAGTGATGAAGACTTAATGTAAGACCGTTCATAACAAGTAAACCATGACACAAATTGAGATGAACAGATATTTTTCTACCTTATATATAAAATCAATGTTAATCAGACATGTTCACACAAGGCTTCAAACTGCTTCCTCAGAAATATATCTATTTATCTCTATCTTGTTAAGTTACTCCATCCAAAACAAGAATTTTAGATAATGGTTCATAGGAATCTTCTCTGTATGTATTACCATTTTCTAGAAAATGCACCAATTACTACTGCCTTCCTTATATTAGAATTAAACACTAGCACTCCAAAATTAAAAAGATCTTCACTTAATGTGGATTAAAGTATGAACTGATACTTCTGAGACCACTCTATTCAATGAAATGGTCTCAAACATTCTTGTGTTTGGAAGCTTTTTTTAAAAAGTTATATTTCAGTTCTTTACAGATATTTTCTAGTTAATTCCTCTGAAAAAAAGAAATTATTTTCCTCTCATTTGTCTCCAAGGAGTTCTAACTCGCCACAATCAATCCCTGGCAAGAGACTAATTACATAATCCCTCTTATTAGTTTCTTCATTGCTTTGCTCATTTCGAGGCAAACAGTTTTTACAATTCTCTGGATAGCATGGTTCCCACAATATCAAATTCCACCTCTTATTATACTTCATTTGCTTCATTTAAGAAAATGGATGACAATCATATTTATCCTCCATTTTTCTTACAATATTCTTAAACAACGATGTTAAACAGATGAAAATTTTACAGTATTCTCATTTTTAAAAAATGGGACCAATAGAAATATGCTTCCAAAAGATCCAAAATATTCTACATTGTTCCAATGTTGAAGCTAATAACAGGGTAAGTCTATGAAGAGATTTTCTTCTGTGCCTTAGAAATATGGGATTCAAAAATCATCAAGAATTTTTCACAGAAGACATCAATGATGCCAAAGAAATGGATTTTTCACTCTAACCTTTCTAAAGACTCTTAAATTCAGGGTCTTAATTTTTAACAAAAAATAGTAACTACCATAGCTATTTATTTCATCCAAAAAATTTAAGTATCTAACGTCGTATCTTCTGTAACTATTCTGTTATGAAACAGTAATTTCTCATGAAGCTTCTTTGCCTATTTACAAATTGAACAGACATTTGCTGGATCATCCCTTTATGTAATGGCACAATAATTTTCCATTTGGGCTGAGATTTTCCCAGTGTTGGAATACAGATCAAATCAGAATAATCTTTAAGAGGAAAAAGACTATCGCTTTTTAAATGTTTAAGTTCATTTTTAAATCTATTAAAATCAATGTGTTCTTAAGTACATTCAGTTAACAAGAAATGGCCAATGCAAATAGCAAAAAAATGTTGCAGTGATAAAATTTATCTTCAAGAACCTAAAGATCCTTGTACCTCCTATAAAGAATATACAATGGCAACAGATTAAAAAGTGGCACTAATACAATCTGTATCTGAAAATTCAAGACTGATTATTTGGAATAGAACCAAGAATTTGAGATGTCTGTAAAGATATGAATCTGGATTGCTCTTCTAGTTTCCCATTTCAAGATAATGGTTTTTAATTTAAAAAGGCATTGTTTGGCCCATTATTAATTAAGACTCTCAACCTAACAACATTTGATTTACCTGTGTGATATAAATCAACCGTGTCAGTTTCAAGGTCAACCTACCTTACCTTTCTCCTTATACAAGTCTATTCTAATACTGCTTAAGTTGAGGAATCTTCTCAAAGAATGAGAAATAGGCAGCGGTATTTATAACTCTAATAGATGATACCTCCTCTCCCTATCTTTACTGAAATTTAAGAAATAATCCGCTTTTGAAGAAAAAGGATTGAAAGTAGATTTCAAATGAAAGCTAAGTTAAGACGAAACGTGTTGTGAGTTGCCACAAAAGGCCCCATTCACAAGACAAGATCAGACACGAAGAACAAGTGGAATGAACCACTAAGCTTCCTTTGAAGGACACGTGGCGCAGAACCACTTCCGTCCTTAAATACGCGGGAGAAAAAGCGCCTTGTGGAGAAGTGAAATTTTTCTAGAGCATCTCACGGAAATGAACGCCTTTAACCGTGTCGCCCGCCTAACCCCTAAGCGGAGGACTTTCCTCTGTTGCAGAGAGCGCGAAGGAGCCAAGTCAAGCTCCCTCGAGAGCCATCTCTTCCGCGAGCATCGGACTTTGGCGGCGGCATTATCATCCAGCCTTTTTCCCAGCCCCCCGAAGCGCATTCGGATTCTTCCGGTTCTAAAGAATTTCATTTCAAACCCAAGCGGGTCGCATTTTCCATAAGCCTCTCTCTTTCTTTCCTTTCCTGCGAAGTACAATCGTTTGCCCGGATCTCCCGCTCGCTCGCCTTTCTGTGAGGCTGCCTAGAGGCGGCTTTCTCCACGCCCGCCGGCAGCTGCATGCAGGGGTGCGCGATGTCACCATGTACGCCGAGCGAGAGGAGGATAAAGGAAGGAAGGAAAAGGAAGGGTGGGGGAGAGGGGAATTCGAGGTAACAACCTTTCTTTTCTCTGCTCTTCCTGGGAATCTGAAAGTTTTTCTTAAGAGGCAGATCTTCGGGGGCTCTGAGGAACGAGGCCCCTAGCCCCTCGCTAAGGGGCTGTGCCTGTGTCTGCTCGAAGGCCCCGGAGACTCCAGTCTTGCGATGGCCACTGCGCGGGGAGTCCCTGCCCTCTACGACGACAGTGTTTAGCAGCGGCGACTCATCACTTCGGCTTCTTCCAGAGCGGGCGCCATTTTGTTTGCCATCGTCCGCTTCGGCTGCTGCAGCTCCGTTCTCCACACCGAAGAGGCCGCAGCTATCTTCCACCCGCTGAGAGGGCTCGGGCGCTTTTTCACCGCCACTCATAGCCGCGGCATCCGCCATTCAACTGCGCAACACAGTCAAGAAAGAAACGACCCTGCGCTTCTCCCCCAGCGAGACCCCCCCCTTCCTCAACGCCATGCAGGGCGCCCCCAACGCCGCCTCCACCCTCCACCTACCCAGCGAGCCACCGCTTCCCGCTCCTTCCCTCCCCGTTTTCACTATAACATGGCGCTGGGGCGTCAGGAAAGAGGAGGAGCTTTTTCACCTCTCCTCGCAGCCAATCAGCGTTCAGCGGTTTTGATAAATTTGAGGAGGCAGGCCCCGCGCTCTCTGCGGGGATGTGGAAGGGCGTGGCGGCCCGTGGAGTAGCGCGTGGCCGTGGTCGACGATCGAGTTTGGCCTTGGTGATTGTACGCAAAGTAGAGGCTATTGAGTCTTTTTTTTTCCCCTCAGTGTCATCGCAAAATGGTGATTTAACTGCGCCTTTAACCTGAAGGAAACTGAATTTTTAACTAGAAGGAGGGAAAGGTTTCCTTATAGATGTGTTAATAGCAAGCAACTTCGTGCTTTTTTTCTTCGGTATTTGAAGTACTGTATTTATGCGCATCAGTTTTCTGTTCTTAAAAATGGCTTAACTTCACCTTTGCTGTCTTTTTCTGTTAATCCTCCTTCATAGCCCAAAATAGTGCATCGATATCAAAAAGTTTAGAAAGATGGCCAAATTAGGGTAGAAAAGAACTTTCTTTCGCTTTAGTAACATATATTGCAGTTTTCTATGTGGAGGCATATACAATGCTACTTTTTCAGGGAACGAGAAAACTGAGCAAATATTGAACAAAACTTGTATTTCAAACTTAGTTTAGTTTATTACTGCAAATACATTATTTTTAACCGTCCCAGTTATTCATGTATTTTGATACATATCTTAGGTAGCTTGTGTATTGCAGACTTCAATAAGCTTTTTTAATTGACAGGACATCTTGGTTTATTTGATTTCTAATTAATGTTCCACTTTTGTCTCTTCACAGAAACCTTTAAGATGCAAAAGCATGTTCCTCAGTATTTTGGGACAATTAAATTGTGCATTATTAGCCATATTCTCCTAAATATTAAAATTGACTTGTTTCAAGTTGAAATTAAAATGAGTGAATTTTCCCATTATATATCTAATAATGTTTGCCATGTCTATATAAAAAGTTACAAACTGATAAATTCTGGACATAGGACACATTTTGCTTTGGATATAAGGTTATACACCTATAAAATAATTTAATTACCATAGTACAGGGGTCTTCAAACTTGGCCCTTTTATGAGTTGTGGACTTCAACTTCCAGAATTCCTCAGCCAGTATGCCTGGCTGAGGAATTCTGGGAGTTGAAGTCCACAAGTCATAAAAGGGCCAACTTTGAAGACCCCTGCCATAGTAGATTGAGAACTGTAAGAGGTAGTCTCTACCTCAGCTTTCTCTGTGGTAATGTGATAGAACCCATTGTTTCTCTTCATAAATAAAAGCAAACTCTGCTAATTGTCCACACAGCTTTTGGGGTCAGCTTTTCCTTCACTAAAAAGCAAGAGGGAACCCTGAACAGAAATGAGACACATATTTATATATTTTCTTAGCTATCACGTCACACAGGGAAGCTGGCATTTGGTAGATAAGATAAAGGAGTAAAGAAATAGTCTTTCCATGATCCTAAAGGCCTGCTAAGGTAACTGGGCTAACTGCATATATGTTCCATCAAGGCTATCCTTAGATTTCTGATCAACTTACTAAGTAGAATTCATTGTAGCTTCATCATTTTTTAAAAAAATTCCTGCTGATCCCTGTTATATTTCAGTTATTAAAAGAATACAAATTGATAGTGAAATGAGAGATTTCCTATAGTACAACTAATAATTGGAAAAGAAAGAAAAGTGCACGTTAGTAAAGAGTAAGTAAGCTTCTCTTGTTTCTGGGAGCTGTGGTGGTGCAGTGATAGAATCCAGTTATTACAGGCTAACTCTGCTTACTGTCAGAAGTTCAATCCTGAGTAGCTCATGGTTGACTCTGTCATCCAGGCTTATTTCCTGCCTGATCAGGGGGTTGGACTCGATGACCTCCAAGGTCCCTTCCAACATTATTATTGTTGTTGTTGTTGTTGTTATAAATCTGAATGCAATAATGGGGGAGGATGGAAAACAACGGGCAGCTCATCCATATGTGCTATATATGTGTTCTTTGCAGATGCTTCACAGCTATCTCAAAACATTCACACATCACTGTAATGGTACAGTTCTGTGAGACCAATTTGGATAGATCTAAGCTCAGGTAAATCTATGTTACTTCATTTCCTCTACAGCTCAGGTAAATCTATGTTACTTCATTTCCTCTACATTACTTTAAGTTTGGATTCAGTTCCATCAGACCAAGCCAGCATGGCCAGTAGCAAGAAAAGTGTATATAGTAGATACTTTCTGTGCTACCAAAAGACAACTGAAATTTATATTCTTAGCAGTTTTGCTTGGATATCATGGGATTATTTTTTCTCATTGTGATCCCCACTTGAATCTTTCCATTGTGGTTATCAAACACTTAACCACCAAAAAGAAATTTGAACACAAAGTATATTGTATGAACCTTGTTTGTTAATGGATAACCCTAATTAGTTAAAATTACTAAAACATGTTTAACCTAACAAAAGCCTGCTACTTTGCTTGTTATGAGTTTTACTATGTAGTAGCTTGCATACTTAATTACCTGGTTAAACCAAGAATAGGAATAATTATTATGATGGAAGGAAATATATTGAGATAAATTCATATAGGATTTAGGATCAGCTATCAATAAGGCTTATAAGAAATAATGTGATTAAGATTTCATAAATTTTAACTCTTAATTCAAAAGAATGAATTAGGTTTCACAGAACTTATCACATCTTTATTTCACTGAGTAAATTCTGTCTTTTACATTTTTTCCCCAGAGGAGAAAAAAAACCTGCTTCTGATTTACAGGTTAATGAATATAAGAATTGAAAGTTGGTACTTCAGTTGCCTAGGCAACATTGCAGAGGAAAAAATCAGCACTTTGGATTTACTACGTGGTATGTGTAGATGATCCTCTTAGGTGCAGCAATTTTCATCAAGATAAAAGTTTTAAAGTTTCATGAACTACAGTCTATAAAACATTTGTCAAAAAGTGTGGCAATATTCAAAAACTATTAGGATAACATTACCTCTCTCATAGCTGGCTTTTGAATGAAAAATACCAAGGCTGATTTAGTTATAAAAAATGAGTGATTAATTAGTAATGTTAGGAATAAAATTTTAGAATAAAAAGTAAAGTTAAGTGACACGTACTGTGTAAAATTTCTACGTGTAGACTGTAAGATTTCTACACAAAATATCTACACATAGACTGCAAGATTTCTACACAATTTCTACATGTACACGTACTTTGTAAGAGTTCTGCACGTAGGCTATAGGATTTCCACACTGAGCTTTAGGATTTCATGATAAAGTACATATAAGGGAATAGGTGAAGCAAAATAGTAAGGGGCAGGGATAATGTATTTTGTTTAGGCGGCTCTGATAAGATTGTAACCTCAGAGGAGGGGCCAAGGCATCGGGATAGAATGTATATAATGTGTGTTTTCGCTGTGACTTAGGTGTGGCTCAAATATTTATTTGGAGTCCACCACGCTTTACAAACCATTGTAGTCAATAAATCTCTATCTAATTTCAACTTGCTGTTTGGTGTTATTCAGTGGGCTAGAATTTCTACCAACAGATTATATCTGGTTTGTTGTCTGAACATAATCTCTGAAAATATCCATTATGGCTCAGTGGATTTTTTTTGTGTTTTTATTTTTAAAAACAATATTTTATTTTATTTGTAAAGTTTTTTTGTATTTTTTGAAAACAATATTTTATTTTAAAAGATAATTATTTCAAAGATCCTTAAAGAATGAAAACAAGGAAAAAGGAAAAAATACACAATTTACAAAATGTTGAAAAAGGAAAAATATTCCACTATTCTTACAAGTAACATTAAATTGGAAAAGGGAAGAAGGAAAATGATAACCAAAAACCCGTCCCAGGTGTAAAGCCACTAAACTAGAATACTGGAGATTGGGAGTTCTAGTCCTGCTTTAGGCAAAAGGCCAGCTGGGTGACCCTGGACCAATTGCTCATGGCCATAGAGGAAGGCAAAGGCAAACCACTTCCAAAAATGCCAAGAAATCTGCAGAAACTTGTCCAGGCAATCACCTGGAGTCAACACTGCCTTGAAGAAACAAGACTAAAACCAAATATAACTACCCTAATAATCATATGTTAATTTGGTACTTTAAAATTTATATCACATCAGAAATTAAGACATAATTATCTGTCATTAATAATTGGCAAATATTCTAACAGGATCCATCATGTAGTTCCCTCCCAAGCATTAAAATGTTACAAAATTGAACTTCCCATCCCAGCACAATGTAATCAACGATGTTCCCCAATAGAATACTTTTGCAGGTTTTCTAACGGAAGGCTTAGCCCATAAAAATCAGGCAGCAATGACCTTGGTTCCCATGGGACAAAATATTGTTTAGCCTAACATTAAAACCACCCATCCCCCTCCCAGTACTGTGGCAAACGAAACAAAAATGGTTTCAGCCAAGATCATTGCAATGTTGACAACAGTTTTATATGAATTTTTCATTTTGACAATACTGAAATACTATATCAGTAGAAAACAATACCAGTAAATGTTTTCATACCAGTAAACATACTTTTCTTCCATTGGTAATTCCCATTGTTACATATCAATTGTCTTAACTTCTACATTCATTTTTTTCATATAAAATTGGCTTTTTCACTTCCTGAATCATATTCAATCATAATTTCTATATACGCCTTAAGAGGTTATCTGGCTTTTATGTTATAAGCAATCCAAATTGGTCAAATCTTTAAATGTGCCACCTTGTTTTATTAGAAAATGAGGGAAATGATCATGACTGACATACTGTATAAAAAAACTATTACCTAGACCAGGGGTGTCAAAACTGCTGGCCCGTGGGCCAGTTTTATCATACCGGAGCTGCGCCTACCCCATTGCCAGCAATGGCGAAAAAGCTCCGAGACGTCGTGCGATGTCATGTGATGTCGCGAGTTTGACATGCCTGACCTAAACAAAGAAGGCTGAAATATTTAGTACTGAAAAGCAGGATAATATTTTGAAGCAGCTTAGGCAAATGACCCCCTGATTTGTTGAAGTGTAAGGAGGAGGGGAGGGATAGTATAATGAAACTTCTGTTATGGTTTACTTCAGCAAAGTATAATTCTAGTCTTCTGTTGGAATTGATTTTTGGCCTGCCTAGTGGACCTAAAAGTTTTTGCAATTCCTTTTTAACTATACATTATTGTTTATTTAAAAACACTGAAACCATTGAGGCATATCTGAACATTTCAGTGAAAATATTCCATTTTTCCTAGATTGCAGATTAAAACTTGCAGTCCATATGAATTATTTCTCCAATGATTAAATATTTTAGCATGTTTGCTTTCATGAAAATAAATATTTAACAACAAAGCAAGAGAGGAGAAGCCTGAGGGTTTTCTTCTTTTATATTTGTGACAAAAATTTAATAGGCTGCATATAACTGAATAATCTGTTCAGCATTGCACAGTTGTATCAAATTGGAGTATTTATGCAGGCTTTCTGAGAATCCTTCTATAGTACTCTAACTAAATGGTAATATGGTGCAATCTGCAACTCAGGTCAAACAACCTGATAGTAGATTAAAACTGGACAGTCAGACCAAATTTTGCTTATTTCCTATATTATCAGTAGCATTCAAAATATGTCTGATACTATGATTCATCTATTTCTTTGGGACAGATCCAACTGAATCAGGATAAATTATTTTGCCTAAGAGACTATGTAACCTTTTTGCAAGAGAAGCTATTAAAAGCGTACAATCTATATCCAATAAGGAAAAAGGCCTGTTCAGCACTGTTGTTTGTTCCCTCCTTATAAACGAAGAATATATAAAAACTTCCAGCCACAAAAGGAGGAAATGCTTGACATTTATTACCTCTGTTAATTGTTTCATCAGCATTCTTTTGAAAATCTTCAACTATATTGCAGAAGAATCATCTGGTTCTAAGTATTCAGTTTTAACTTCTGTCTTGCCCCTTTCTTCAATCTTTTTTAATTGGCTTATTGAGTAATAATTTTGTTACAAATTAAACAATCTGTGTTGTATCTAATAACTCTATAATCGCCCTTAGATTTCCTGATGATCAATTGTGGCTTAACGTTATATACATACTAGGCCATTATGGACATTGTTCAATAAATAGACAGTTCTCAGTGCCAACTTTTCCTGTGTTTATTTTTATTCTCTTAATATTTTCTCCCAAACTTCTAGAAATTGTAAGTGGATATTTGTTGTTGTTTCAGACAATTTTCTCTAGATTTCATGTTGCACTATACATCATTTGTTGTACTATACATTATTCCAATGACTGCTAGCAGTTCGATTCTCACCGACTCAAGGTTGACTCAGCCTTCCGTCTTTCTGAGGTCAGTAAAATGACCCAGATTGTTGGGGGAAATATGCTGACTCTTAGAGAGGGCTGTAAAACACTGTGAAGCAGCATGTAAGTCTAAGTGCTATTGCTATACAGTACACCCACACCCACATGCACACATACCAACAGCAGTGCTATTCTTGTGGTGATTGTCTAAGTGATTCTTCCTTAGATAAAATCCAGAGAAATCACAGTCTAGCCTATAATCTTCCATCAAAATATTAACAAGGTCTGATCCTGTGATAGAGAAGGCCTAATTTCCCAATAAATGTTGAAAGCATAGTGCTTAGCTTGCAAAAATGTGACCCCAGGCATATTATGGGACAAGGCATAAGGCATAAACAAAAAACGCTTGTAGATGGTTTTGCTAAAGATGTATTGCTGAACCAAGAAGATTCCTGGAAGAGCCATGTTCTATCATATGTAGAAATCCTGTGGTTAAACTATAATTTAGGAGTATATTATGCTAAGCTATATATATTTATATGTAGAAATGCTGATTATTCCAAAGAAATTGGTATCAGAATACATGGAACATCTTGTCAGATATGCTATAACTTGTAAGTACTGTATAAAAAGCACTGGATAGGAACTGGTAGTTTGAGAGAGATCTCCTTGTGTTCTTTTTCTACAGAATACAGTTTATTTTACAATCTCCATCTCAGTGAGTTCGGTTCGAGTAAGGACACATCACACAACAAATCCCAGTATTGAGCTGGGACAGCACCTGCTTAGCTTCCAAACACAAGTCAGCAAAGTGCTGAGGCTTAAGGTTGGTAATATGTATTAAAATTAACAGCAGCCTGTGGATAGAAGATATTTTTTAAAACTATGTATGTATGTATGTATGTATAAAACTACCTCATGAATACCCTGACAGACCAACATTTTCACATATTCACTTAAAATGGTTCTAATTAGAGCCATATCTGGTCTGCAAAGTGCCTCTCAACTACTAGAAGTCAAAGAAGAGGTGTCTGTATCTCTTTGCTACTATGTATAGGTAATAGATTAGTTTTTGCACCCTAGTTAAAACAGTAATAACATAAAATGCATAATTATTATATTTTAGGAACATTTCTTTTAATAATTTAATTTTTCCTTATAAGCTTAAAACTATCAGTAAAGGCTAGCCCCAGATATTTGGCTGCTCAAGGTGCCACATCAGCAAATGGGCATATTTCCCTTGCCTATCCTAATTAGGCCCATAAAACAGAAGAGTCCCACAAACAATCACACATGTAATTAACAGTGTACCTTTCATGGGACTCAGAATTAATCATCTGGTGTGCTTGCCTTATTACAGTTAACAGTTAGGAATCTGCTGTTCCCCGAAGAGAAAAAAAAAAGAGAAATGATCTGGTTTCAGGAGATCTTTCAGGACTTAACAAAATAAGCAAGTAATAATCATTAAAAATCTACAGGGAAGCAATCATGCAGGATAATCAGAGTTTGTACAATCTATATATTACGTTCTAATGAGATTTGATTATAGATAGCCTGGTTTAAGCATGTATAAATGTGGAATCCTGATATTTGGCAACAGCCTTCCTTATTTTTGTAATGTCGTTAAACAGGCTTTGATTTCCATCAGGAATGAAAACACAGAAAGATTCACCCACCAGTTTACAAACCTCACCCTCTTTGGCTAGCAGGTAATCAAGGGCGATACTGTTTTGTAATACTGTTTTCCTGATGGCATCAATACCACGGCAGTGGTATTAACCAATTGTTCTAGGTCAGAAAACTTTTTACACTGCTCCAACAACATATTAATACCTAACTGAGGGAGTAGGGTCCCCAAAAATTGGTACCGTCCATTGTGTAGCAATTCTGGGGCCATTATGTTGTGGAGCCACTTTGCCAGATCGAAAACAAGCATGTCAGCAATCTTATTTATTTATTTCTTTATGAGACTTATATACCGCTTTAAGTGCAAGCACTCTCTAAGCGGTGTACACCAGTAAGCAATGTATATATATATTTACATTGCCCCCAACAATCTGGGTCCTCATTTTACCTACCTCGGAAGGATGGAAGGCTGAGTCAACCTTGAGCCGGTGAGATTTGAACTGCTGACGTGCTGAACACAGTCAGCTAAAGTGGCTGCAGTACTGCACTCTAACTGCTGCGCCACCTTGGCTTCTTTTCGTGGCCTGATCCTCCTTATTTTGGGGCCTGAGATATGAAGGAGAGGAAATGTGTGCATTGAACTTAACCAATGAAGAATAGTGGCTAAAGGTGCAGTCTACTGTACCTGCCAACTGGCAGCAAACCGCAAGCTGGAGAATCATACCATGTAACTTCTGTGAGACTGTCAAGAGGGGTGCCACGTTAGGTCCCTTTAGCGGAGTATCCAGCATATGATCAAACACAGATACTTACTCCAGGGGTCAAAGGAACAGTCATTATCAGGAAAAGGGTCACAAAAGAGGGCATCCTTGCTTATGGTATAAGAGCAAGGCCTAATTCTAAGACTTCCAGGATGTCACTTCCATGAGGAATTTGTAAGAACACTGATATTACAAGAACTATAGCCCAGTGTCATCGTACTTCAGGAGGTGATATTGAGGCCATTTGACCCAATGCATACTCTACCCTCTTCGATGTCATGCAAGTGGTAGTATTTCATCATGTTCTGGAAGGGCTGCGCACCGCTTGCCTTAGTATATCCAGGGTCAAGCCGCTGCCAGACCATTTCTGGTAGTGCCGTGTAATGGAGTGGGCCTAATAAACAGAGACACCATGTTTTCCCCAGGTCCTGTGCCATAGTTACAAGCCAACAATTGCTCAGGTTGCTCACATCATGAGCAACCCAATATGCCTCAACCAAGCTCAAATACAAATTGGTGGAAATGTCAAGGAGCTTGGAACAGATGCTTCGTCAATGTCTTACTGCTGTTCCTGTAATAGTTTCCTGGGAGGCACATACAACCTCTGTAGGTTTAGGAGTTATGATGGGAGGGTACAGAGTGTTATATAAATTGAGACAAGTGCCTACAAACAGTAACACAATCATAGTCTATATGGCAGGTATGAGGCATTTTCTGATGCAGATTGTCTCCTTCATGCACCTCTGGGCTTCCATTATGCTGAGGAAGGTGGTGTAGAGTCCTTCAGTTGTTGGGAGGACAGATTGGGGTTCACTTCTTGCTGTTTTAGTCTGCTCCAGAGATTATACACTGGTGGGGAGCAGAGGTTACTAGCATTTGCATCCCTATTGGGCAAAACTTCATTGTTTGCCTTGGTGGGTTTGGATGGCTTGCGTTGTGCAGCTTCCTTATCTGGGGCTGGTACTGCCTTGCAGTACAAAGCATGCACCCAGGAGATAAGACCCTGATCAGTCCCTTCCAACAAGGAGCTAAGCAATTCTATTAAGGGGATGTTGAACCAGATATGAAGAGACATTGATAGACATTGTTTTCTCACAGAATCAGACCTTTAGACTGCAATAATTACTGGATATTAAAAAATGAATAGAAATTAAGTTTTTTTTCTAAACAATTTTACTTTTATTAAAATAGTACCAGCAGATGGCAGTAATAGTTTGAACAGTTTCACTGTATTTTCAATTGAAGATTACTTTTTCATAATAAACTGAATCAAGACCACATTTATGGAACAAGATAATAAGAGATGCAGCCTTTATTTCTAGCCTGTGATGTTTATTTTGCTTCTTTTGCTGGTGGAGTAAAAGGTTATAATCCTGTTGCTGTCAAATATTTGAAGATAAGATGTAAAATTCATTCTGATAGCAAAATACAATAATTTTGAAAATATCAAATAGACATTTCTCTTCCTCATATAGTTTTTCAGCTTCATTCTTTTTTTTATAGGTATGTGCTTTTCCATAGTCAGCTGGGTTTATTCCTATTTTTATTTTTATTTGAGGGGCTTTAAGATTTTTTTAATATTCAAGAGCTTTTCTATTTTTGCCTTGGTTTGGCATTTTGGGTCCTTCCATTGTATATATGATGCCTAATGCTTTAAACAGTGTCATGATGTTATTTCCATGCAATATTAAATGTCTGAGGGATTTATTTAAAAAGAAATAATTGCAGCATAGAACAGGTATGTTTACAAGAAACTCATACTGCTCCTGATTTAAAACACACACACATATCTTTCTCACCTCTATGGATGGTATATATCTTCCTTAATCTCAGGGCCTGGGAATTGGAGGGTTTTGCAGAGTGTCTTGGCTGTTCTTAGCATGCCTCTTTTTTGGACAGAGAGCTCTGATGTTCCTGGGATCTGTTGGAGCCACGCTTCCAACTTAGGAGTCACAGACCCCTATGGCTCCTACTACTCTTAGAACCACTTTGGCCTTTACTTTCCTTGTGCCTCATATGTCTATACTCCGTGACCGCCTACATGCCCTGATGCCTTCAGAATTTTAATATTAAAGTTGTAAAGGAAACCATGTTTTCCAAATCTCAAAAATCCACTTGGCTGGAGAAGAAACTGAGGTCTATCGTTACCCTAAAGATATGCTTTTTTCATAAAATACAATACTTAGCATTGGTTGGCTTGGGAGAACCATTCTAAAATTTTAGCAGAAAGATCCCCATAATGTCTTGCCTGATGTCTTAAATATGCATAAAAGTTTAACCTATTAATCATAGAAGAGATTGAAGGAAGCTATAGAAAAAGAAGTTTCCCTCTTTAAATTACTGAAGCAGTTATAGCACACGAAGCATGTCTTTTGAATGAATTACCCAGTCCTATTGTATTTCCTAGTACATAAATGTTATTTGCTTCCCTTTAAAAAAAATAAAATCAACTCCTATTGTAAGATTTCTAAGGGAATACTCATTTTGATCCTGGACTGCAACAATTGCCGGTGTTTGTTCCTGTTCAGATATAGCAAACATCTTAAAACTGATTAAAAAGAATTTGATAAAATTCATTCCATAGCTCTCACATTTCAAATCCTTCATAAACCTACCATTTTGAACAGCAGTAATATACAATGTTTAGCTAAAATATAAAATTAATAATACTTTGAAGAGATATTCTACCTTTCCCAATTAAGCATGGAGATATGAAACATAATTCAGTGTAATTTATTTGAAATGTTTTGAGAACAGTATAAGGCTATTATGCAAAAATATTTAATCACTAATACAGTATTTTTAATAAATGAAAACATACAACCTCTCTAACATTTTGGCAAGTATTTGTCAGTTCAGTAGTTCACAACTTAAGCACACAATCCTTGGTATATTTACTGAGAAATAGTCCCATTGTGTCATTTGGACTTATTCCCATGTGTTGTAAGACTGTAAAAATGGTAAGATTGTAGTTTAATGTATTTTCTATTGTGTCTCCTTTGTAACTAATACTCCAAGCCCAGTCTGGAACATTGCATTAAACCACGTCACTGGATCTGCTTCCCTTGATTGGTGAACATTTTCCAGAATAAAGCAAGTTAAATAAATTACAAGATTGAAACATGATCATAATATTTTAATCCTATACATACAGAAATATCCTAAACAATGATAATTGTAATTCATACTTTTTTTAAAAAAAGTAAAATAATCTATTATATACTGATTATTTTAACATAATTATGTGTAACAGATTGTGAAACATAAAAAAAACCTGATACCTTATTTACTCCCCTAGTTTTTCTGTAAACATAAAATGTTTGATGTATACATTTTTTCAACATTACTGTTGTACTGAGGAGTCTATACTGTATGGAAAATAATAGTAATAATTATATTTCAGTGCACTAAGTTGTGTATTATAGGCCCATTTATAAGAAATCAGTAAAATACTAAATTTATTCTTGTTCAAACCTAATTGTACTTTTTTTAACTCAATTTCCCAGTTTATTGGCATTTTCCCAAGTTTAGCTGGGGAAGCTAATCAAAGAATAGCTGAACATTTTTCTGAGATGTTAATCGGAACACTTTGCAGTTGAGTTACTAGAATAAGAGTAGGTGCTACAGACAGTTCTCAAAACAGAGAATTATAGAATGGTACAGATTGGTGCTAAAGAAGCCAATGCTTTATCGGGAGGTCTGTTAGATGAAAATATCTGAATCATGATTTTAATTGTGGCAATCATGGCTTATTTTAATCACTATTAACTAAGCAGTTTAAACTCCTGATAATACACTTTATAAACATGAAAGTGAATTAACTTAAAAACTTGGCCTTTCTAATGTTTTCTAGTGGGGAATCCCTATTCCAAATTTTTGCAAGGTTGATAATGTTTACATCTGAATCACATTATATGTATTCTGAATTTTAATATGAGAAGTATATTAAACAAGTTTCTTATACAGAATTCATGACAGAAGTTATCTAGTCTCAGTGGTGGCAACAGGATATGATGCTTTTGTCAAAATGAAAAAAAACAAAGCAGTGTCATCCTCTAAGTTTGTTCCTGTTGTATGTGTTTGTGATGTCACAACACATGTATAAAAGGGATGGACCTTGTGGCTTCTTTTATCATTTGCCATCCTTTCCCTGTCAGGCATCTCCATCTGTATCTACAACGAAGGCTAGGAATATGAGCAATCATGGAAACTGAGAAAGAGAAGGTTTATTTGCTGCTTACCCAACTAATTTTCCCACGATAAGTCTTGATTATAATTTTTATTTTTAAAATGTAAGACAAACTAAAAAAGCCACCATTTTATGTACAAAGTGATATGTTACCTCAGAAAGGCTACACGAAGCAAAATAATTCTGTTTAAATGAACTCAAAATATTTCAGCTGTCATTTTTGGTGCTTCCATGCTTTTAATGTTTATTAAAATTGAATCTGCTTATTTCACAGCACAATCATACAAAGTTTTAGATTTTCCGTATTAAAGAAGTACCAATTTTCAAATGATTTTCTTGCATGTATGCACTTAGAGAAACCCTATTTTATTGCATTAGCCATGTTAATTGTTGACATGTGTATCTTAAATTTCACCCTAAATATTTAAATCAAGCTGTATTTTATTGCTGACTTAGTATTTTAGTTTATCCTAAGATATAGCACTGCTTTATAAAAGTTGGACATCACTTGAGTCCTCATTTTTTGAACACCTTCCACTGTCTAATATGCTACTTGTCATAGCTTATGCACCCATGCAAGTAATGTACTTAATGTCAAGTAATGTACTTATGTCAAATCACTGGGTAATAAGTAACTCAGTTGTAACTTCAAGCTTTCTGAAACCATGTCTTTTCTAACTTCCTGACTTTAATACTCTAACAATGCCATGCAGACAACTTGTGTTCGGTTGCCATTTGAAACATCAAATGTGGGCACTTTATAAACAGGGACACCTGCTATATAGTATGTCTAAACCAGTAGTTTAGAAATCATGTCTACCAACAGGATGTGTGAAATAATTGCTCAAGTACCTGTCTCAACCACTGAGACATTTACAGACTATCACAAGACTATGGTTGCCATACATTCCAAATCACACATACTGGCAGTTACAGTATTATGGTCAACAGGTACAAATATAATAGGGATTGAATTGATATTGTCACAAAAATATTAAAAAGTGCTTCTTGCTCCACATATGGAATCCAAATACGTACATATAAGACACTGAAAGCCTCTTGAAGCTTTTGTCAGACATTGCTTTCTAACTCTCTGTCATTCTCCCAAGAATCTGTCTCTTGCATGTGGTCACACTCAAGGCTGATTTCGCTAGTGTCCATGCTGCAGTTAGATCCACTGTCTGACTGGTCCATTTGTTCAGACTTGGATTCTTGCTGGAATATACTGTTCCTACTTGATGCTAATACAGATCCTTCCAAATCAAGGACTCCACTCTCACCCGAGGCACGCAAAATCAGTTCTTTGGCTTGACGGATAGAGTTGAGCCACAACTGTTTATTGAAGGTATCATTTGCTTGTAATGAGTGGGACTGACTTTGTGATCCATTTTTGAAGCTGATTCTAAAGAAGTTTTTAACTGGAAGAAAGGAACCAAATCAGTATATGTAGTGTTGTCTGTAAGATGATTTAAATACTGTGTTAATTTTCAGAACTTTTGGGCTTTGGTTTGTAATTTTACACAAAATATTAAAGATTTAAAACAATGGCATATTATTAATAATTTAAGAACTGGGCTACTCTAGGTACCAGCTACATAAAGGATATGTCAAAATAGTTTCTTAACAAAACATTATTTTAGAATTTTAAATAAAAAATAAATTTCTGAAATGTCATTATTTGATAAACATCAAAATAATCTAATTGATTCTTACTTCTCTCATTGTTGCTGAATGCACCACGTATGGATCCACCTAATCGCACCTCTCCATCTTGCAAGTCTTCCAGCATAAGATCCTTCACAGGGATGGGCTGTCGATACATTTGGTAGCAGAGTTGTTCATTATGAAGAATTGTCCGAGTAATTACTAGCACTTCTTGGAAAAGAAAGACATGAAATTTCTGAGGAGAAAAGAAAAAAAACTTGAGTTTCTTTTCTAGAATTTTCTAAATTATTTATAAACCAACCAATTACTCTAGAGTAAACAGAAACTAGTAAAGTTCAACTTCTCTCTCTCTCTCTCTCACACACACACACATGCACTACACACACACACACACACACACACACACACACACACACACATGGTATGCATCTTCCTTAATCTCCAGCAGAAGCTCCAATGTCATTCCTGGGATTTATTGAAGCCGCTCTCCTGCTTAGGAATCACAGCCCTGAGTGGTCCTACTACGACTGGGACCACTTTGCTCTTTATTTTCTAAATCCTCTTTAGTTTTTTCTTCAGGCCCTGGTATTTTCCCAACTTCTTATACTTCTTCCTGATGTTGCTGTCACTTGGCATTGCTACCATCTATTACCACTGTTATCTTCTGGTCATTGTCTAATACCATGGTGTCTAGTTGATTGGCCAGTACCTGTCTCTCTGGATCTGGAAGTCCCACAGTACCTTGCTCCTATTGTTCTCCACAAACATCCGGGGAGGGTGTCTTCCATTTGGACTTCGGAGGGTCTAACTCATACACTGTGCAGACATTCTTGTACACAATGCCAACTACTTGATTGTGTTGTTGAATGTATGCTGTTCATGTCTGCATCTTACACCATGCCACTATGTGTAATCTGCACCTTGAGTCCTCTCAGGTGTAATAGAACTCTGCTTCTATGGATCTAGTGTTTAGTGCCTGTTCTTGTGCAGCTATGATCAGTGCTTCAATGCTAACTTTTAGTCAGCCCTTCCTAGCCATTGGTAGGATTTCCCAATGTCTGCCACTTTAGCTATCTGTTGATGGTACATCCCATGCAGGGTCTTGTCTTCCCATGGCATTGATCTTTCTCCTTGATTTTCTTCTCATGTCTGCTGCTGCCTCAAGCTCATTTTTGGGTACAACCTTACTGATGTACTCATTGACGCCATGGGTTTCACCCTTTAATACTCAATAGATCCCACCCACCCTCTTTCTACCTGGGGTACAATCTCTGATTCAGGGTTGAAAATTCCATATATTGTGAAGAAGTTCTGGATCTTCATGTTCTGCTTTGACCAGCTCATTCTACCAGCTGGATATTTGACTCATATATGTTGATGGCATGGATCTTGTTCTTCAGAACCTGTCTTATCCTTTGGTAGTGGTACTTGGGATGCCACATCTTTTCAGTCCTAATGACATCCCAATGTTGTCACTGTAGATGTGTGTCAGATGGATCAGCGAGTTGATGTCTTTCTCACTCTTGCATGCAGTTTTGTGTCATCTACTGTATGTAGAGGTGGTGGCTGACGGTAATTCCACTCTTGAACTTGTGTCCATATCCACTCCTTATGATTATCTGGTGGAGGAGGTTCAAGCCTATGCAGAACAGCAGCAGGGGCAATATATCGCCTTGGAATATGTGCACTTGATGGACACTTATGCAAATTATCTTGAGTTGATTTTCAGTATTATTTTCCACAGTCCTACTGAGTTCTTGTCCTGTTGACTTTGTATAGCACCAGGGATTCACAGATCAAAGTGTGTGACACTGAACCCTAGGCTTTCCTATAGTCAATCCAGGCTGTGCTCAGATTAGTCTGTTTTGACCTTGAATCTTGGGCAACTGCTCTATCTGTGAGCAACTAATGTTTTGAACTTCTGGACTTGTTCCCAAATTCCCTTATGAGATGTGCTTATGTACTGACCCTATGGTCCTATAGCTTAGCAGCAATGATCCCTGACACGACTTTCCATGTTGTGGAAGGCAAGATATTGTATGGTGCTGTTCTCTTGTGGGGATCTTTTGTGACCTGCCCTCCTTTTATGGATCTGAATGGTCATTTAAGAATATACTGGGGTGGGAGAGCCCTAAGGAAATATGAGGGATGGATGGATGGAAGGTCGGATAGACAGATATCACAATGCTATTAAAAGAAGAATATTTTCTAATACACATTTGCCCCTTTGTTGTTCTAACCAACTGTAGCCTGAAACATCCAACAGTATGGTTAATTTGAGCAACAATCTGTTGATGTAAAAATCAGAATTCAAAGGAAAGAGAATAAAATATACCAGGTTTTTTTATTTTGAAAAATAAATCCCTTACCGCTCCCCTGTTGTTTTTTAGTTCACCATGACAGCAAACAACACGTGACTCATCTATCAAGGAGTCCCTTTGGGTATCATCAAGATATATCAGCCTCTCTTTGTAATACTGACATTCAGATTCTCCCGTCTTTTTATTGATTTCTGCTACTATGCCTTGAACAATATTCATCTGGAAAAAAAATAAAGAGATTATTTACAAGCAGGTCAATTTCCAAGCCAGGTTGACTAGTAGCTTCTAAAACAAGATCTATTGAAAGTTACGTTTTCAATATTTTTCTAGCACAGCATTTCTCAACTTTGGCAGCTTTATGGTGTGTGGACTTTAATTCCTAGAATTTTTCATTCTGCATAGTGGTTCAACTGAATCCGCAAGAACTTCTTGGTTATCATTAGAGGAAAATATTTGTAGGTCAGTGTTGAAATGAGGGGTCCTTGGTGCTCTCTGGGCTTGATTGTTTTCTTACCCAAACTAGGTAAAATCATCAATGCTGGACAAGTGAATGAAATGTCTGCAAGAAAATAATCAAGCTCAGAGAGCACCAAGGACCCCTTCACTCATTGGTGTTCTTTTGTCAGCAGGAATATGCCATATGATAATATGAATACATCCAGTCCTTTTTCAGTGACCAAGTTCCATTCCAATGACCAGGTTTTTAAGTGTAATGATTGCTAAGCATACGCTTCACACACAGAGAGACACACATACACACAGAGAGAGAAAGATGCAGTGAAGATCAGCAGGTGCTGCTTTCCCATTCAGATAAAGTTTTCTTGTATCACATTAATCTGCGTTGTTGTCAGGCATGTGAATTATTCATAAATATGTGCACTGGTTATAAAACAATTTTTTAAAATGTATTACCCTTTATTACCACTGTATTTGCAAATGATCTCTAACAAGGTAGTTGCTAAATGAATGACAGTTTAGCACATTTATTCATTCAAGCCTATATAATCAGAATCCTTTTACACATAAACAGCAGGACTTTGTAGTTTGATTTTCTAGCTAAAACCTCTAGTATTACATGTGCTTGACCCCAAACTTGCATTGTAATTTGCTATGCCATAGAAAATAGGGATGCTTCCCCAAATAAACCTAAGTGATTAAAACTAATCCTGCACACTTCTAGTAAAAAAACAGTTGTACTGAATTTCCACGTCTTCATTAATAGGAAGGAATTCTAAAATTTGTGGGAGCCCTAAGCACTTGGTGCCTTAGCTATTGCAACATAGCTAATACACAGTTTTCTTGAAATGTTAATCCCTGGTCAGCCTTTGAATACCTAAACTGTAGCAGATATTGCCAGAGGATTAAAGAAAAGGTTTGGCATAAATAGCTTTGGCATGCTTCTGTTTCTTAGAACTATATTTAAGAAGAAACACTATGGAGAGGAATATTTGAAGTTGTGATATTTAGCCATAAATACATATACATACGGACAGTCACAGTAAGACATAGTTCATGTGTTATCAGATTCTTTGTTTCTGCTCAACAGAACTTATGGAAACCGTTAGTATGACCAACCAATTTAGATGTGGAGGTCACACGACCTGCTTTGTCAAAGGAAAGAGATTACTTGGTTTACTTCATTAAAAAGGGGGCTTGGGGGTGAATACAAGCCATACCGGAGCTGCCTAGCCTGGAAAAATACTTAGCCAATAGGGCAAGAGAAGGCACCTTAACTTTTCCACAGCCTCTAAAATCAATACTACTTTTCTACTTCTACACTGCTAATATTCTTACATTAACTGTAAGTAATTTTGCATATCAAGCACCTACAGACTCACATACACACTATTGTAATTTTATTCCTTGAGATGGATAATTCAACATTTTTAAAAAATGGCTCTACTTGCTATATTATTGCTAAATACATACAGCTTCTTCAAGGTGCTGATGATCTGGATGATCATTTGGTGTGTGCCTCAAAATCTCTCTAAGCAGCAATGGATATTTCACCAGACGGCTGCGTGGGATATCAAGGAAATTCCATAAATCTAATTTGCGACTGAAAGGCGATTCCAAGCAACGCTGTAGGAAGTCCTGCACTCTGTGATCCTGTTTTTTATGGTCCAGCAAAGCTTTAGCAGCCACTTGATTGCTACAGTAACTATCATAAGAATTCAAGAATGGCAGCTAAGGAAGAAAAGAAAAGAAAATAATATGAGGCAAGAGTTTTTACATGTTCATATTCATTTGTTGCTTTCAGATGGGATTGTTTTCAGATTTTTAAATCCGCTACTCTAGGATTCTAATTATGCAGTATTGTAAGTTCTAGAACTTTTATTTTCCTACCTACAGTTTAATGTCTTTGAAAATAGTTATTGTGGCTTTGTATCCAACAATGAGTTTAAAAAGCACATTTTCTGAATAAATCCTATATATTTGAGCTAATACAACAATGCAATCTTCTGAAGCAAGTTGATATATATCACCTGAGAATGTTATATTTAATCTAACTATGCAAAGATTATATAAATACCACAAGCACTGCTTATCAGCACATGCAAATAGATATTTGTTAGCATATGAAACTGTGAAAGCAAACCAGTTTTCTTTTATGCCTGTGGCTATATGAAGTTTGTTCTTTATCCTTAATCCTTTACAGCAGGGGTGTCAAACTGCTGGCCTGCGGGCCAGATGCATCATCCGGAAGCCGCACCCACCCCACTGCTGGCAATGGCAAAACTGTCCCAATACGTTGCGCGACGTCCCGTGACACTGCAAGTTTGACATGTCTCTTCTACAGTGTTAGAAAGGTGACTTAAATGTTAAAATCAAAGATCCTTTTCTTCAAATTTATATATTTTCCAACTATATTAATTTTAACTCAAATATTCACAAATCCTGCTACTCATCTTTCTATAAGCACATTTGTAATGCCAAATAAAATCGCTTTTTGAAAAATAGGAACAAGAAAACAAATATGAGTATTTTACATACCCAGCTCACAAGAATGTGACCAACTGATTCTGTAGATCCATCAGGCTTTCTAATTTCCTTTAGTCTCCTAAGAAGATCTGATGAAAATAGAATACTGAGTATTATGGCAATGAATGGATGACTTGGTTTATGAATCATTTACTGATAACATTCATAACATGGAAAGCCAGGCTTAGCAGATAATATAACACTGGTTTTTCCTCTACAGTAGAGTAAGGTCTTGAACTTTTGTGTGAATCAAATATACTGGGTTTCCCTATTTTTTGGGCTAAACAACAGAAGATGCAAGCTGTCAATTTATTATTAGTTTCTAATAATAAAAACTTTTGCCAAATGACATAAAAGCCCCTATCATTTTTATAAGAAAGTGAGTCAAGTGGCTATCTATTCATGTTTCAGTGACAAACCTCATGCAACATACCTAATTGTGTCTTCATACATCCGTTTTAACTGCTGCATTGTTTCAGTTTCAGTTATAATCAGCAGTATGATCTGGTATCTCTTAATACTAACCATTTCCACATTTAAGCATCCAGCCCACCCTCTAAAGATGCTATGAATCAGAGTCTCCCCTCATAGCACCCTTAAAAAAAAAAAAAAACAAATTTCAGGAAGTCCTAAAAGTAGCTCAATAGAAAGGAAAAAAAAACAACACACATACCATTTCACAAATCTGAATAAGCTGAAATAGCCAGTTTTGTAAAATATACCCAGGAAAGCTCTAGTATGTACTCCAGTATTTTATTTTATTTTTGGGCAGTGGTGGAGGACAATTTGATTTTACTAGGAACACTCAATTCCATAATGAAATCTTAATAGATTCCAACCAATTCCAAGGTAAAGTCCTGTTCCATAAACATAAACCTATACAAATATTATAGACAAATTTAAATACTGGACATGGCTGCATATTTCAGCTTATAGATTTTGTATACCACTCTAAAATTATATACAACCATTTCTCCAATATACTGAATGCAAGGAATTATACCTTCATGAAGAGGAATTAAAGAATCTAATGTTCCAAAAATTTGGTTTAATTCTTGTTCAGACATTATGGAAAGCTTAAGCATTGGATCATGGTACGCCTGTGAAAAGACAGAAAAGCCATACAATAAATGTGTAAACTTTCTATTAGTGATCATATTTGTGCTCTAGCACCTATATTCAAACTTTGTCTTCATTAACATTGGTCACAGAAACAGTATTAACCAGTTTAAAATACGTAAGCATGCAGTACCTTCTTTGCTAACTTTAAGTCTTCTATCAAGTCTTCTTCTCCTTGTGAAAGTTCAAATATAGCCTGTAATTTTGAAAACAATTTGAAAAAGAAACTGATATTTTTATAAAATAAATAAACAAATGTGTTATTTCAATATTTCAATTGGAAATAAAGCTAAGGATACTTTTTTTGTTTTCTTTTGCAAGGAAAAAAGATGATAAAACCAATAGATTATATAGTTATTCTGTTTTTATGTGTAAGTTATATTCCAATCTACAGCTTTTATGTTGACAATGATTAGTTGTATGACTAATTATATAGTTCATTTTGCTACATCAGAAAAAGTAATAAAGCAATGGATGCTGGTATAATACTTTCTCTAACTTTGGGTTAGCATGATTCTTTATTAGAGAATATTATTTTTATATCAGTATTTCACAATGAGTTTCATATCTTCACACATGGAGACACACTTTAAAGTTATGACCACTAGTAGGGTGAAATCACCAGTGTTCATTTTGTCCATTTCTCTTATACTGCTTAAAATATTCAGTTATTATAGCCTTCCTTCCTTCCTTCCTTCCTTCCTTCCTTCCTTCCTTCCTTCCTTCCTTCCTTCCTTCCTTCCTTCCTTCCTCTCTCTCTTTCATCAACTATCAAAGGTTTTTCAGTGGCATACAATATCATTATCCTTGCTTTAGTTCTAAGGCGCTCAATATAACAGATTAAGAGAATAATGTTTTGTCAATCAGACGCTATATGGAGCTGGCCTCAGAATTCAGCATTACTAAGATCTGAATGAGCACCACAATTGGCCAGAGAACCAACAGCTGCCAAAGAAACTAAGAAATGCTGTGTGCCTTTTGCACAGATTCTGCCACTGTGATTCATAATCAGTAATTGGGGAACGTGCACAGAGCACTACATATAAAAAAATAGAGATTTTTTTTTCTCCCTCTTCATTCTCCTCAAAGAAGCAGAGGAGAAGACCTTACTTTTTGTCTATTACAGGTAGTCCTCAACTTCTAACCACAATTGAGTCCCAAATTTCCATTGGTAAGTGAGGCAATAGTTAAGTGAATTGCACCTCATTTTATGAACTTTTTGCCACAGTTGTTAAGTGAATCACTGCAGTTGTTAAATGAATCATGCGGTCATTAAACGAAACTAGCTTCCCCCATTCACTTTGCTTGTTGGAAGCCAGCTGGGAAGGTTATGAATGGTGATCAGATGACTCTGGGACACTGCAACTGTCATAAATATATGCCAGTTACTAATTGCTGCAATGGTCATAATAGGTGTGAAAAACAGTTATAAATCACTTTTTTCAATGCTGCTGTAACTTTGAACGGTCACTAAACAAATGGTTGTAAGACAAGGACTACTTGTATCTTGTATGTTTGCACTTCTTAAATTTTAAGGGCATCATTGGTTCTACTATCGGTCTCAGGACAAACTGATGCGTGCAAATTATTTTGTTTCCTTAAAATAAATTGGTGTATACGGTGTCTTCTTGCCCTTTAAAACATATTTTTCTATCTTCAAAATCATTTAAAAGAGGAGGAATTGTTCAGATGTCATTCTGTTTTTTGCTCTTACTTTACTCATGACTTGTTTCAAAAGATTTTTATGCTTAAGGTTCTTGGAGTGCAGTGGTCTTGCATGGGGTTTTTGTGGCAAAGCAAAATGACTCATTTTTTTTCCAGATGAGACCCAATCTATTTGTATAAAAAAACAAGAAAAGCTGCTACTTTATGCATGAATGCTTGGAATATCAAATAAAATGTCTTGCTTCTGATTAAACATACACTAGATCATTCTGAATGAACAGCTCAAAGGCTAATCAATTTACAACATCCAGAGACTGAAATGAAAAAAATAGTACCATATGCCTGAGAGGCAATGAATATTTTAATCCAAGATGGGTTCCAATAATATTTCTTTGTGTCAGCTTTGTGTTAACAATAACCAAATATTATTTCTTGCTTCATTAAGCTGCAGTTCTCTGTTAGCATACATTATGTGGGTTGTAAAAATCTGGACAAGAATTAGATGACAGCCCACATCTGATATGTCTTCTCTTGCACCTTATGATGTGACATTGATTTCATAAATATTTTAGTCTCCTCCTGTTTACTAATAAAACTTCTGGATTGATTATCTGATAATGTTTTAACAAATTGTAAGTCTTCCTTGTATTGTCTCCAACAATTCTTGCCAATGTAATTCTAAATATAGTCTTTCAATGGTAAAAGTGTTTAACACTTTGATCTTATTCTCATGACACAAATACCAAGGCCATGGAAGAAGTGTAAGCATGTCACACATGCATTCCAAAACTGAATTAATACAAGTAACAGAATAACAGCAGGTAAAAGGTTAAATTCAGCCTCAAACAGATAAAGGTTTTTTTTGTTGTTAAGCTAAATCCTTACATATCTTCTATGTTATGCAAATTATTTATCAGAAGGTTAAGTAATCCTTCAAATGTCTAAAGAGGCTTTATGAAAATGAGGCTTCTCTAGGTAATAACTTTGTGCTTGTTTTGGTTTTCATCCGACCGTTAGTCATATAAGGAGGCTGGAAAAGGGGCAGAAAACGGGGTAGTGATGAATATTGTTCACTTGTACCTGACTCTGGGAGTGCTGTTTCAGTCGTGAAATCATTTTTTTCCCCAACTCTGGAGTGGGAAGTGGGTGGGAAAGCAGACATGGAAAGGGAAGCAACAGTGACAGTTGGATGGCTAATTGAGGTCTGTGCTAGGAGGCCAAATTTAAAGATTGGTAAATGTGAGTTGTGCTAACATCTTGAGAGCTGCACATGTTCCGGAAGGAGACCTCCTTACCTCATAATCATTGTCTAAGTAGCCATTCTAGAACTAAGAGAGGAAGCAAAATGTGCAACTGTAATTTTGCCAGTCGTTCCTGCCTTTCAATATTCTTAATCAATGGAAAAAACATTTGTAGCAACAATTCACACTGGCTGAGTTCACCTATCAAGAAAGGCTATAATATTTCTTGTTTGCTTTTAGCTTAAGATGTTGTAGGTACCAGACATTGTGATTTCTAAAACACCGTTTACAGCTTAGCACACAAATTCTACATCACTTTCCTTGTTCATTTGATTGCTGCTCTATTTAAAAACAAATCAGAAATCTAGAGGAATCTTTTCTTTCTATTTGTAAACACCCACCCCTCAAACTATAACTGCATGAGGAAAATATTTGGGTAGCAGCAATAGGAAGAAAATAGAAAAGCCATAGAATGAGGTGATGTATTTTTTTAAATGGCCCTGTCCTTATATTCAGGCTTTCTTCCTTGATCCAGGCCTATTCTGCCATTACATTGCTACACGCAGAAGATTCTCTTCCAGCATCAATGGCCAGTTGGCTTTTGAATACCAAAAAGAGGGGGGGAAATGATTTATTCCATTGTAGTATAAGCAAAATAGACAAAGCTCTGTAGCAGGAGCCAGTCTAATCAGATGCTGCGAGAGTCACTTTTACAGACTGGAGCAGTAATATATTAATAGTTCTTAGCAGCATCAGGGTAAAGGTATGTGGTATGTGCAGTTCTTAGTGCTCTTTCAGCTTTTGAGCTTGCAGACATTTCATTACCCAGCTAGGTAACATTTTCAATGCACTGCTTAATGGGATAATGAAATATCTATAAGCAAACAACCATGCTCAAAAAGCATCAAATCTCCACAGTTCAACCCTGAACTGTATATATTCTTTTCTATAGATATATGGCAGTTCTGTTATTGCCTCATGTGCAAAAAAGAGGGAATTCATCTGTGAAGAGCGAATTTACTGTACAGAGCCAGGTACACGTTCATTTTTACCTCTTAATCCCATTTCAGAAAAAAAAAACAATTTCAAAGACAATATAAATAAGCAAACCTCTTGGCGCTTAATTTCTTTGGATGTGAGCATCTGATTGACGCAAACATCAAAAGTCTCACTCCAGAGTTTACTGTCTCGTCGCTTGGTGCTAACAGAGGGTACATTTCTCATCCAGGAACGGGATGCAATTAGGTCAGACCGATTGTCACTACGAAAACTGATAGACCGCTAGGAAAAAGGAAACTATAATTACTACTTAGATAACATTTGATTTAAAGCATTGGTGCAGAAGCAGGATCAGACTTGGTTGCTGATTTTGGACTAATCTAGCTCACAAGTGTCATGGCAATAACATTGGGTAGAAATCCATATACTACTTTGGTATTTTTGGAGGGGAATTATAATAAATAACAATTTCCTTTTGAAAACTTACCCATAACTAAACTTTGTCACAGAAGAAAATTGATAAACTTGAATACATAATTTGGCTTGGGGAAACCCTACAATTTAATGTAAATAAAGTTCTAAATATGAATTTACCACTGTAAACATAATGCATGTTTACTTTTTATTCAGCAACAAAATGAAAATGTTAATGTTCAAATGGGAGTCTCCATAATTATCGTAAATATGGCATTTTGTATTCATTGATCACTCATGTACATATTTGAAAAAGAATTATACATAAACCATATTGTTTTATGACTTAAGAATCTTAAAAGGCATTTTGCAAAAAAAGAATTATAGAGCGGGTCTACTATCATCAAACTACACTCCTTTATCCCTGATACTAGAGTAACCTGCAGCAAGAGGGATCCAGCTGACATCTACTCAGAATAAATCATTGAATTCAGGCAAAACATACAGATGCCATCAAAATGTGTTAAGAATTGCAGTTCCAGTATCACTTTAAGAGTTCTAGAGCAGTGTTTCTCAACCTTGACAATTTTAAGGCATGTGGACTTCAACTCCCAGAATTCCACAGCCAGCAATGCTGGCTGTGGAATTCTGGGAGTTGAAGTCCACATGCCTTAAAATTGTCAAGGTTGAGAAACACTGTTCTAGAGCATATTCTGAGTAGAATTTTTGGAAGCCTGTGTGAGGCAAAATAGATTATGCTAAATCTAGCACCTAAAAGGTGAATGCATATGGTACTGTAACAGTGCCAGGCATAACCTCTTTGGAGAAGACATCCCACTGCCGCAATATTGTTAATATAATCTCTTTAATAGATGTAATGTTCACTGCTAACAGCTATTATTTAGAAAACATCATTGAAACATGCCGTCTATATGGAAGGAGGTTTCTTAGCAAAAGGAACTGGCTTCAAGTAATTCAGTTTCAAACCATTTAAGGTTTTAAAATTAAACAATAGTACTTTGAATTTGGCTTGGAACCAAATTTATAGCTGGTGAAGTTTGCTGAAATATAATTGAAGGAAGTACAGCCAAAAATCTGATTGTTCCAGTCTTCTCAAATTGAAGCTTCTGGATTATATTTTCAGGGGTCTTAATATGATTAGTGGGTTACTGCAGTACTCTTTTAGCAAAGCAAAGTAAACTCAATGTCACAAAGGCGATCTGGATTTTGCAGTCCAAGTGTTGAATCCAGAAACATCTCCAAAGGTGCATATTTACCCACCATTTGGGGGGGGGGGGTTCGTTCTGAAACAATTTGATAGATCTCTCTAAATTAAAGAAAATTTGGGGAATTGTGTATCTACAGAACTGATTTCCTGTGTATCAAACAATGTGCCCTAGGAATTTTTTATCATTGCTAATAGTTACAAGGTAAAAATACCAAAACAAATGCAACAGTCTTAAAGCTGCCAAAATTTACATGTTTTATCAACAAAATATTGAAAGTTCCAAAATAAGTAAAACAAGCATACTTCAAGCTAACAAAGCAAAATACTGAATATACTACCCTGCCTAAATCTAATTCTTGTACATATCAGAGAATACTTTGGTGAGTACATGACAACAATGAAATAAAATGTAACAAAAATATTTTTTAGTTTCACAGTTGTTCTTGGTTAAGTTTCACTACTGTCTCAATCTTTAGAGGAAGGGATTAATAAATGTAATAGATGTATTATAGCCATGCCAGTCTTCCCCAGCAACATTTATCAATTACCACAAGAAAGAGTTACTCAGATTTGTATAGATACTGAAATACTCTTTATTAAAGGGTTCATATTTTATAAAACAAATATAACATAAGTTTGATCAATTCCTTTTAATTATAAACAGACGTTCTGTAAATTTACACTTTACATACATGCCAAACACAAGGCCCGGGGGGCGGATGCGGCCCGCGAAGTGCCAGCCGGGAGCCAATGTACAATTTTGTGGTGGCCATCTATGCTGATACACATTCAGTCTTAGCTCCACAAGGCCGTCTCTAGAAACAGCGAGGAACCAGCCCCCTGGGTGCATGCTGGGGAGGTGTCACCCTTTGTGAGGAATGAAGAAATGGACCATGTCTTGGCACTTGTCCTGGTCCCACCCCCTTCTGCCAGAGACCCTCAGATCTGTCCCACTCCTGCCCAGGCCCCCACAGGCACCCTTTACGCGAACGATGTAGAGCTGGCCATGCCACCCAGTAGGCCACACCCACTCCATCCACACCCACCCAGTAGGCTGCGCCCACTCTGGCCACACCCACCCAGCCCCCCAAGGGCAACTGCAATGCTGATGTGGCCCTCAATGAAATTGAGTTTGACACACCAGATGTAAAGTGTCATATGATGTTTTATGAATGTTAACCAAGAACCTAATTATCTTTATGCACTTGGAACAGAATATTCATTGAATTGTATAAAATAAAGATACTGAGGTAAAAAATCTGATAAGTTACTAGCCAGGAAACTCAGTGGAGAAACCATGACTAACAATGGTGAGAGCCTTAAAATATATCACGGTATCTGTTAAGGATCAAAGGAAATATGGATTAGCCTACCAGGAGGACAGCATTTGGCTAAGTCAAAGCAAATGGTTTTTTTATTGTCTCACTGATATAAAAGAGCCTACCAAAGGTGGAGGAGAAAGAGGGATGAGATATTGATGTCAAAAGATTCTTTGCCTGACCGTGGAGAGATACGTAGGTCTGTTAGTTGGCTCTTTTATTACCAAGCTTGACTGTGGTAAGAAAGCTGTTATGGAAATTACAATACATCATGACCATATGCTTTGCAATGATTTTATAACTCTATTCAGAGTACTAAAAAGTTCATATCAGCTTCAATTGCTCTTGCAAGGACACTGGGTAAAATCATTTATCTGTCCTTTTCCTTGAAACTCAAGCACAGACTAAAATGCCCTTCTCAAAACATTTCATGATTTGACCAACTTTTATTCTGAATATTTTAGTTCATAAAAATCACAGAATTGGAAGGGGCCATTTAGGTCATCCCCACCCCCCCGTTGATCAGAGTAGGAATCCATATTATTAACAATTTTTGTTCAAAAAGCAATAGCACTATGAAAGCGTTCCTTTTGAAATATATTGTTTGAGGACATCTGTTATACTTGAGCTGTTTTTTCATAGCTTCAGACTGGAATTTAAAATTTATACTTAAGAAATTACTTCTGAAGTTTAGTTTCAGACGCAACTTGGTCTCCTTCTTCAACAAGTAACAAAAACGCAAGTGTGTTGTTTTATCTAGTTAGAATTAAAACTATATGTTGAGAAAAGATCAGCAAATGGACCACGGGTTCTGATCTGTATCTAATCGGTTGATCAGTTACTGTAGGCAAATTCTGAATCATTTTAATAATATATCAGATCAGAATAATTGTGCTTTATGTTAGTTAAATGCTCTCCTCGTATTTCTCTCATTTTACTTGTCTGTTAACAATAAACTACCTGTTGCCATTCAGTTGAACAAATATCCCCTAAACAATATTCTCTAAGCATTATCAAAATATTACAAACCCTCTTCCAACTCACATAATTTCTTCAGAATCTTATTAGAAATTGGGTACCAAAAAGCATATCATGCTCAAGAAAAATCAAAGGGCCTGATGTCCGTTCATCTCTTTCTCTCTCTAAACAAAAAGTAACTCACAGGGCAACCAAGATAGTTTCAGCATCCAAATCAGATACAATCCAATTAAAATTCACTGTAATCTAGAATATCTACAGTAGATCCTATTGGATACAACCTGCAAAATATGTTCAATTGTACAAGTGAATCATGTTTGGATGGCCCCAAGATAATCACCAAAGCCACAATATCTTGACCCATAGCTCTTGTCCCTTCAATCCATGACTCTATTAGTTGTCAACCTTAAATCCAAGTCCATCTTATCCAGGAGAGTATGAATAGTAAGATGTTTTTCTGTGAAATATATAATTTTTTAAAGTTCTGAATAGAAAGGTAAAAACACTGGACTATAAGGGATATAAATTGAAGCATTACACTAATATTTGATGAACTGGAAGCCTGGGCAGAAAACTTAATCCAAACTCTGATGGGCAAACAGGATCCATCATTCTTATTTTTTTTATTATCTTATTGCTTTTCTTTTCCTAAACCAACATTTGATCTTTTGGCTACAAATGGATAATTCTTTCTTTCTTTCTTTTTCTTTCCTTCCTTCCTTCCTTCCTTCCTTCCTTCCTTCCTTCCTTCCTTCCTTCCTTCCTTCCTTCCTTCCTTCCTTCTTTCTTTCTTCTTATGAGACCTCAGAAAGGATGCATGCAAAAACTTTATTTGTGTTAGTGGACAGGTATACATCACAGTGGGCCCAATGCCTTTTTAATTTATTTTGTTTCAAAAAACACATGTTCATCATGGTAAGGACCATAATAAATAACTATTTTAAAATATATAACCCTGTGAGAAGCAAACAAGTACTGTATCTTTATGAAAAGAGACACATGGAGCACAATAATAAAACTTAGCAACCTTTAATTCACTTTTCCCTCTGAACAACAAGAAGTAATGAGTCATCTTTCTCTCTGGGTGATATTTTTATTAAAAGAAGAGTAAGGTTGCTTCAAGCCAGGAGATTTGTGATGTTTCTCATACATTACTCTTTGGAAACCACAAGAGGAACTGCAATTTATTTTTGACATCAGTCTCACCTTTTTTGGTATATATCCCATTATGTTTTGTCCACATCAATTAGTACAAATAAAGAAACAGAACTACTTCACAAAATTATTTTTTACTGAAGCAACAATAATTCTGTTTGTGCACATGTTTCAGAGTCAAAAGCTAC